TTAATTTCTCCTGGACTTTTCCTGCCTGGGCTGGCTTCTAATCAGGATCCTTAGAATGAGGCTTGAAGACTCCTTCATCTTGTTTGAATCCCCAGAACTGAATCCTCCCATCCCCAGTATGATCAGAAAGCAACGTTGATAGTCAGGGGCTGGCAGCTCATACCTGTAATCCTAGCTATGTAGGAGGCTGGGACTTGAGGATTATGATTTAAGCCAGCTGCAGAAAGTAACTCAGTAAATTACTCCAGTAAACTACATGGGGGGGGGGGGGTGCTGGGAATGTGGCTTAGTGGTAGAGTGCTTGCTCAGCAAGCATGCATGAAGCCCTGGGTTCGATGCCTTCAGACTACATAAACAGAAAAAGCTGGAAGTGGAGCTGTGGCTCAAGTAGTAGTGCTAGCCTTGACCAAAAGAAGCTCAGGGACAGTGCCTAGACCCTGAATTCAAGCCTCAGGACTGGTGTATGCACACGCATGCGTGCACATGCACGCATGTGCGCAAACACACACACACACACACACACACACACACACACACACTGAGTTGATGGGAGGGAATGGTAAATTATAATTTTTCTCCCAAGATCACCTAAGGGGCTGTGGCTCCAAGAGGAGAAACCAAGGCAGGGAGAAGAAAGGGACCTATGGCCTTGACCCCTGCCCCATTGAGCCCTGTGCGCATCACCACAGCTGGCAGGCTTGTATCTGCTTGTTGTCACGCGATTGCACACATGCTCTAGCTGGCTAGAAGCCATCACCCTGAGAGTGTGGCAGGGGCCGTCATACACCTGGACTGCATTTTTTGGGTTCTTTCAGAGTCCAAAAAGCAGCTTGGGAGCATATAAATCCCCACAGCAGGGATAGGGATGAGGGCCCAAGGTTTCCTTTAGGCAGTAGACATATATTTTGGGGTCAGTGTTCAAGGATAGACTCAGCCAAAACACACTGCAGTCCTTAGCTTCCAGAGACATGCAAACCCGGCTGGGCAGGCTGCTGGTGTCAGAGCTGGTATACTTCAGCCTATCACTAACTTGGCTCTCTTTGTCTGAGGGTGTGTGTGGAATGATTCTGTGGAACTCTGGGGAAGAGGGAGAGAGAGGGTTTTTGGACATCAGAAGCTATGAGGCTTCCTTGGAACATACTGAGAAGTTACTCCCAAACTTGACAGTCCCTGCAGCTCTGGCCTTGGGAGACCCATTCCCCATTTTGTCCCTGGCATCTAGTCCTCTGCCCACCTGCTGGCCTGGGCAGAGAAGAGAGCCTTCCTGCCTGCCTCCTTCCCACAGGGTCTCTTTCTTTTTTGTGGAGGACTAGGGCTTGAACTCAGGGCCTGAGAGTTGTTCCTGAGCTTTTTCTTTTTTTCTCTCTCAAGGCTAGTTGTCTACCACTTGAGCCACAGCTCCATTTCCAGCTCTTTGGTAATTGATTGGAGATAGTGTCTCATGGACTTTCCTGCCTGGGCTGGCTTCAAACTGCAACCTCAGCCACCCGAGTAACCAAGGATTACAGGCATGAGCCACCAGTGCCTGGCTTCCCACAGGGTCTTTGAATGCTCTCTCCTCTTTAGGCCTCACTTAGAATTTCTCTTTCTCTTCCCAGCTGTTCCCCTGGCCCACAGATAGGTTAAAAATACCAAGGCTGCCACCACATCAGTCACCAGAGCAACTATTTCAAGTGGGCCAGGCCCTCTTGGAGTTGGATCAGCCTCGTGGCAAAGCTGGGGGACAAATCCTCCTCACATTGGAACCACTGGGAGCCTCGGTGCTGTAGTTGGTTTTGCATATTCTGTTAAGGGTCCTGGGCCTCAGAGCTGCAGCTGTCCGATGGCCTTCCTTATACTGGGAGAGCTGGGGGAAGGGACACACAGGGATCAGGGAACAGGGGAATTTCCCGTCAGGAACAGCTCCAGGCTGTGTGTGTGTCCATTTCATGGAGTCCCTGCAGTTAGGGTTCAGGACACCTGGGAAGGTCTGTCTTGCCTGTGGCCCCCTCCTCCCTGAATGGCTGGGAATTTCCCAACAGTCAAAAAGACAAGGCAGATTGAGAGAAGCCGCCTCCGCCAATGCTGGGACAATGGTGCCTTATGCCCTTGAAGTCAGAACTGGGGTGAGAGGGCCGAGGGCAGGTGGGGGGCCCGGCTCTGTGTGCACCCAGGGAAGCCCTTGATTGCCAAGACCCCACCGGAGCCGGGTTCAAGGAAGGGGGGGGGATGCCACCCAGGGAGGGAGGCGGCAGGGGTGTGTGTGTGAGATCAGGCGGACAATACCCAGCCACTCAATGGCCCTCTCTGTGTGTAAGGCTCCCCTCGGGATAGAAGGAGCCATCTCCGGTGGCTGCTTCCTGACGGGCGGGCATGGCGGTCCTGGAGCCGCTCCAACCCTGATCGTGCAGCCAAGGATTCGGGGTGTGTGTGCGTGTGTGTGTAGGCCTAAGCCTAGGAAGGAAGAGGACAGGGATCCAGGCCCGGCGCTTGGAGGAGGGGAGGCGAAGGGAGCGGGAATGGCCCGGGTGCCGGGCCCGGCGGGGGGCCCGAGGGGCCAGGGGAGTGCGAGCCCCGGGCCCGGGGATGGGATGCCCGGGGCGGGGTGCGAGTGCAGGGCGGGGGGGGGGGGCTGCCCGGGGCCCGGGAGGGGGTACCGGGGGGCGGGGTGAGGGCCCAGGGCCGGGGGGGGGGGCCCGGGGCGGGGTGCGGGCCCAGGGCCGGGGGGGGGGGCCCGGGGCGGGGTGCGAGCCCAGGGCCGGGGGGGGGGGCCCGGGGCGGGGTGAGGGCCCAGGGCCGGGGGGGGGGGCCCGGGGCGGGGTGGAAGCCCAGGGCCGGGGGGGGGGGGCCCGGGGCGGGGTGCGGGCCCGGGGTCCGGGGGGGGGGGGGCCCGGGGCGGGGTGCGAGCCCGGGGCCGGGGGGGGGGCCCGAGGGGGGCCCGGGGCGGGGTGCGGGCCCGGGTCCGGGGCAGGGTGCGGGCCCGGGGTCCGGGGGGTGGGCCCGGGGCGGGGTGCGAGCCCAGGGCCGGGGGGGGGGGGGGCCCGGGGCGGGTGCGGGCTCGGGTCCGGGGCGGGGTGCAGGCCCGGGGTCGGGGGGGGGGTCCGGGGCGGGCGCGGGCCGGGGCGCCCCGCGCGGCGGCCGCCTCTTCTCATCTCCCGCCAGCACGCGGCCCCCGCGGCCCCGACAGGTGTGTGGAGGCGGAGCCCAGGCCCCCGGGTGCCCCCCCCCCGCCCGCCCGGCTCCCGCCTCGCCAGCGCGGCGCCGACCCCGAGCCGCCCTCGGCCCCGGCCGCTTTGTCCCGGCCGCGGGCGCGGAGGTGTCGCCGGCCTCACAAAGCGGCCTTTGTGCCCCGCGGCCTCGGCGGGGCGCGGTGACGTCAGCCTCCGTGCCCGGCGGGGGCGGGGCCGGGCGCGCGCCGCCGCCGCGCCCCCTGGCGGCCGGAGACCGGCGGCGCAGGCGTCGGGGCCCCGCGCGGGCCGGGGGCCGAGGCCGCTTCTCAGCGCGTTCTCCCCAAGGCTCGGTCTGCGGCCGCCCCCTGGCGTTCGTGCAAGCGTGGCGCTCGGCGCTCAGGCATCTGAGGGGCTTTCAGAGCAATCCACCCTCATTGGGATGAGCCCAGTACTTGCCTGTCCCTACCCCTCAGGTTCCGAGGCTGGCAGGGGCTGGGAAGGTGGCTCAGGGGTAGAGCGCTTGCCTTGCATGCCTGAGGCCCTGGGTTCGATTCCTCAGCACCACATAAGCAGAAAAAGCCAGAGAAGGGGCGCTGTGGCTCAAATGGTAGAGCGCTAGCCTTGAGCTGAAGAGCTGAGGGACAGCGCCCAGGTCTAGTTCAGGCCCCAGGACAAAAAAAAAAAGATGGCAGGGCCTGATGCACCTCACACTACGTCTGGACTTTCATATCTAGGCAACTGGAGGCTGATTGGACACCCCTTATTCCCAGCATGCAGAGAAGAGCTCATTAAGAGTCAGCCCAGGAGCCTGGTGCCAGTGGCTCACACCTGTCATCCTAGCTCCTCAGGAGGCTGAGATCTGAGGATCACGGTTCAAAGCCAGCCAGGGCAGGAAAGTCTGTGAGACTCTTTATCTCCAATAAACCACCAGAAAACCAGTACCACTTGGTACTCAAGTGGTAGAGCACTCGCCTTGAGCTCAAGAGCTCAGGGACAGTGCCCAGGCCCACAACTGACAAAAAAAAAAAAAGGACTGGTAGCAAATGTCTGTAATCCTATTACTCAGAAGATGCTGTGATCTGAGACTTTTGGTTCCAATCCAGCCCAGGCAAGAAGTCTGTGGCTAATCTCCAATTAAACAGCGAAAAGAAGGTAGGGGGCTGAAGTCTAGCCTACTACTACCACTCTGTAGAACTCAGCTTTAGTACTGGCCCTTGGGATTGAATACCCAACAGTTTCTTTTTTTCTTTCTACATTTTATTATTTCAAACCATGTGAACAATTCCATAAAACGTGAAAAAAAGCAAGGAAGTGTTCAATGCTGAAGGACCCGGGCCTGGGACGAGGGCTTGAGGGGCCTAGCCCCTCTGCAGGCAGCGGTGGTTCCTAGGTTAGCGCTAAGGAGCTACATTTAGGTTAATGGAGCCTGGGCCCAGGGCCACAGGGCAGGGGCCTCAGTGACATTGGCAGTTGTCTGGAACAGCCCTTGGAACCCAAATCCGTGGAGGGCAGGGCAGGGGGCCACCCGCGTAGGAGGGACGGCCAGCGGAAGGATGGGTGTAAACACGCAGACACACTCAAGGCACGGAATCACTGGAAGGGGCTTTGGGGTGGGTGCTGGTAAGGATCTGATAGTTTTAAATAGGTTTTTCTCTAAAAAGTTTTCTAGGTTTGCAGTTTGCTTTTTTTTTCCCCTCTTTTACTTTCTTTTTTTTTTCTTTTTTCTTTTTTTTTTCCATTTTGTTTTTGTGTTTTTTTTTTTTTTTTTTAAAAAGCTACGAGAATGAATGAGCAAGTGGACTGTGTGGTCTCCAGGAACGGTGGTGTCTTACGCTTCTTGTGCTTTGTTTTCCTTTGGGGCCTCCGAGCGGTAGGGGATGGGACGGGCAGGAGGCTCCCTGTAAACATTTGGACTTGGGCTGAGTCAGGGCTGGTGTTGGGCAAAGCCAGGGGTCCAGGCTGGAGAAGTGGGTGTCCCTCCAGATATGGGCCTTGGGAGACTCTGCATGTGCTCCCCCACCCCCACCCCCACCGAATAAAAACAATGGTCAGAAAACCAGAACAGATGCCCAGGAAAAAGGGGTACCATGGCCACTCCCCAACACCACAGATAAGAATGGGCTTCAAACAGGGAGGCCTATGGCAGCCCCTCCCTCACGTCTGAAGCTAAGGGAGGGGGGACAAAGGAGCTGAGAACAGAGAGAGAGGAAAGAGGGGAAGAAGCGGCCAGGGCACAGGCAGGGGAATGTGATCTTCTTGCCCCCATCTTCCTCAGGGGGACAGGGGGAGCAGAGTCAGCGGTGGCCCTGGAGGTGGGGTGACAATTATGGCATGGGTCAGGAGGCATCTAGTGTAGGGCTATTCCTAGCATCTGCCTGGACCAAGTCATTTCTCTTACTTGCTCATTATCAGGCACACAGAAGCTGGTTTGCTGGGTTAGTGTGTGTGTGTGTGTGTGTGTGATTGGTGACAATGGCAGAGTCATTCTACTTCACCAGGGCCACAGCCTGGGCTGGGGACCCTCTTGATGGGTCTGAGGGACAGAGGGCCATTGCAGACTAGTCACAGTGCCCAGCAGTTAACTGGGGTCCTATCGCACAGCTTTGTTAAGCTAGGTCAATAACATGGTAGGAAGGAAGGAATTTTCTAGATCTGTGTAGGAGAAAGCCAGACTCTTCTGTCTGGATCACTGGGCCAGGCCACCCTGTGCCATCTCCTCAGTGCCCTCTACCCCAATCAGCTGACCTGAATCAACACTTTGCTCCCTCCCTTGTCCTCTGGTCTCTGAGTACCCATCCTCCCACCCCCAGACTTCCACCTCCCATCCCCTCTCTGGGCTCAAGGGCTCCATTTTTGTTCTGCCCAGTTCCTTGCCTTACCCATTCCCCCCCCCCCCCTGCCAACCCCGGGCTTACCATCCTGCCAGGCCTGCTACCCCTCAGAAGAGGCCGCAGTCCTTCAGGTTGTTCTTGATGATGACATCAGTGACAGCATCAAACACAAACTGCACGTTCTTGGTGTCGGTGGCGCACGTGAAGTGCGTGTAGATTTCCTTGGTATCTTTGCGCTTATTCAGGTCCTCAAACTTGCTCTGGATGTAGCTGGCTGCCTCGTCGTATTTGTTGGCCCCTGAGAGAGACACACTGGTGAGCACAGGTCCTGAGTGTGTGTGGCAGGAAGCCCTTCCCTCAATGTACAGCATCATCATGTAAGTGCATGTGCATGCCTGAGCGTGTGAAGAATGACATCCAAGGTACTATTTTGAGTAAGAACATAGTATGGCCGGGCACCAATGGCTCACACCTGTAATCTTAGCTACTCAAGAGGCTGAGATCTGAGGATCATAGTTCGAAGCCAACCCAGGCAGGGAAGTCCATGAGACTCATCTCCAATTAACCAGAAAACCAGAAGCGCTGTAGTTTAAAGTAGTAGAGTGCTAGGCCTGAGAAAAGAGCTCAGGGACAGTGCCCAGGCCCTGAGTTCAATGTCCACAAATGGGACAAAAAAGAAAAAAACAGGAGCCAGGTGTCGGTGGCTCACACCTGTAATTCCTAGCTACTCAGGCTGAGATCTGAGGATCATGGTTTGAAGCTGTCAGCCCAGGCAGGAAAATATGAGACCTTTTTTTTTTTGCCAGTCCTGGGGCTTGAACTCAGGGCCTGGGCACTGTCCCTGAGCTGTTTTGGCTCAAGGATAGCACTCTACTACTTGAGCCACAGCACTTCGGTTTTTTCTATTTATGTGGTACTGAAGAATCAAACTCAGGGCTTCATGAATGCTAGGCAAGCACTCTTATCACTAAGCCACCCCTGTAGTTTCCCTTTTGTCCAGAGGGGGCGCCCACGGACCGCCTGGTCTCTACTAGGTGGTTCCCTACAGGCTCTCTCACCTGTATACTCCGGGAAGCAGATGGTCAACGGGCTGTGTGTGATCTTCTCCTCAAACAGATCCTTCTTATTGAGGAACAGGATGATGGACGTGTCCGTGAACCACTTGTTGTTGCAGATGCTGTCAAACAGCTTCATGCTCTCATGCATGCGGTTCTGGGAGCGGGACAGTGAGGTCGGTGACGGCCACCATGTGGGCGTCCTCGCCCCCACCTCCAGTGTTTTCCCAGCTGCTCACCATCTCCTCATCCTCGGCCAGCACGAGGTCATAGGCGCTCAAGGCTACGCAGAAGATGATGGCTGTGACACCTTCAAAGCAGTGGATCCACTTCTTCCGCTCAGACCTCTGACCACCTACATCAAACATCCTGTGGACACAGGGGCGGGCGCCTTAGCTCCAAGGAAGGGAGCTCTAGGGAAGACTTCTCTCTCTGCTTCACAGGCTGGCAGGAAGAAGACAGATGACTGACCAGTAGGAGTCACTCACTCTGAACAGCTGGCAGGTGGTGACCCTATTATACTGGATGGTGAGGGACCTATTTTCCCCAAACACAGCCTTGAAGAACTTGAGAGTGAGGCTGAGATTGCTACTAGTCCCCTGATAAGCTTGCCCCCGCCCGCACTACAGGCCTGCTCACTTGAAGTGGAGGTCCTTGAAGGTGAAATGTGTTTCCACAATGCCTGTGGTCTTCACGCGGGTCCGCAGCACATCCTGTTGTGTGGGGATGTAGTCACTCTGTGCGATGCGTTCCAGGTCATTCAGGTAGCTGGGGGAGGGGAGAGGAGGAAATGGAGGGAGGGTTAGGGAGAATACAAGGAACCTTATTCCTTGTTTCTTGGGCCAGCAGGAAGATGTATCTCCCCCCCTACCCCCTGTACTTCTCAGGCAAAACTCTCCCTTCTTTATTTTTCCTTGCGCCCGTCCTGGGGCTTGAACTCAAGACCTGGGTGCTGTCCCTGAGCTTCTGTGCTCAAGTCTAATGCTCTACCACTTTGAGCCACAGCATCATTTCTGGCTTTTTTGGTAGGTAATTGGAGATAAGGGTGTCTCATGGACATTCCTGCCTGGGTTGGCTTTGAACTGTGATCCTCAGATCTCAGCTTCCTGAGCAGCTAGGAGTACAGGTGTGAGCCATTGATGCCCAGCTTGCTCTTCTACTTTTTTTTTTTTTTTGTCGTTCATGGGGCCTGAACTCTGGGCTTGAGCACTGTCCCTCAGCTCTTCAGCTCAAGGCTAGTGCTCTGCCACTTGAGCCACAGCGCCACTTCCAGCTTTTTCTGCTTATGTGGTGCTGAGGAATCGAACCCAGGGCCTCATGCATGCAAGGCAAGCGCTCTACCACTGAGCCACCTTCCCAGCCCCCAGCTTGCTCTTCTTTAATCCTTGTCTACTTCACATTCACTGCTGAGCTGATGAAACCTGGGCTCAGAGCCCTGTTTCCCACAGTGGGATGGGACTGGAATTGAATGTGGCCCTGGGGCCCCAGTACTGAGTCTGAGTTAGGCCTGCTTTGGGACAGGATCCAGGGTGTTGGAGCTACAGGTGAAGGGAGTGGGAGGGGGCAAATTAGTCCTTCAGGGAGAGGTTCAAGGATGCTAATAGGGCAATTATGGTACCTGCCACAGAGCAGCCCTCAACAGGGAGCTAGACATGTTGGAACCTGCTAGGCCTGTGGGCTTTCTGCCCAGCACCCAATAAAATTTGTGTTCCTTGGGGGCACCTATTCAGTAGAGATCCCAGGGGCTCCTCATTACCAGCTTCCTTAATTAGTATGAAGTCTACCCCTCTAGGGCCCAGGGACCAACCCAGCTAGCTGCCTGCCTTGATATCCTTACAGCACTGAGTCTAAACCCTCTACTGGTGCCTTGCTCCTGTAGCAGGGCTGCTAGGGCCCGTGGCTAGACTAATCCAGGCCAGGGGGAAATGATCTCAGAGACACAGGGACAGAACAGAAAAACAGGAAGGGCCATGGGGGACCATGACGCACTGCCTGTGACCTGCATGCTATGCCCTGCCCCCTACCGGCAGTCCCTAACCTGGAGGCTTCATGGTGGGTTCTGTGCCAACCTTTCCCTCCATCAAGAGTAATGATATTGTCCTTGGGACTTCCTGCAGTCTTTGGAGAACCCCTGGAAAGAGGGTTAGTGTGTCCCTATTCCTTCTGGGGCTCCAATTCACACCTCATCTCTGGTGGTTTTGCCAAGGCATAAACCCATCTAAAAGAACAGGACTGGGGGCTGGGAAGGTGGCTCAGTGGTAGAGAGCTTGCCTTGCACGCATGAGGCCCTGGGTTCCATTCCTCAGCACCACATAAGCAGAAAAAGCTGGAAGTGGTGCTGTGGCTCAAGTGGTAGAGTGCTAGCCTTGAGCTGAAGAGCTGAGGGACAGCGCCCAGGCCCAGAGTTCAGGCCCCATGACCGACAATGTCTCCTAGGACCTGTCTATTCTGTCCCCACTGGATGGATACATGGCAGCGAAGGACTGGGCCCAAAGAGTCCAGGGCTGTAATACATTTAGGACTCCTGGGATTTCCCCTTCCCCATCTCCCATCCCTTGCCATGATTCCTAGTCTCCACCTGGGACTAAAAAGGGTGAGGTCCAGGCTCCAGCCTCTACACACATCTGCCATCTCCACAACAACTTCTTCCCCTTCGTAGGCCCCTTGGCAGCCAGCCTAAATCCCTGTGCTCTCAAGTACAGCCCTAGGGTTTGTACCTGCCCTGTCCTTGCTTACATTCCTTTCCCAGGCTTCCCCTGACTAGCTCCCGTTCAGAGCCTCTGGGCCTCCCCCAGAGGGAGGAATACGCCAACCCCTGCAGTCCCTGCTCAGCGACTTGTCGGTTCTATTTATCAGTCTGTCCTTGAAGCCTTGCACAGGGCCTGATACACAGTGGTAGCAAACGTTCTTAAGGACCATTGTGTGAAAACAGATAAAGTGACAGATAAAGCCTAGAAGAAGCCAGGATGACTGTCATCCTCCTGGCTTTTTAACTTGCCAGTCATGGGGCTTGAACTCAGGGGCACTGAGCTTTTGTGCTCAAGGTTAGTGCTCTACTACTTCAGCCACAGCTCCATTTTAGATTTTTTGGTAGGTTATTTTATTTATTTTTTATTTTTTTTTGTCGGTCGTGGGACTTGAACTCTGGGCCTGGGCGCTGTCCCTCAGCTCTTCAGCTCAAGGCGAGCGCTCTACCACTTGAGCTACAGCGCCACTTCTGGTTTTCTGGTGGTTTATTGGAGATAGGAGTCTCACGGTCTCTCCTGCCCGGGCTGGCTTTGAACTGCGATCCTCAGATCTCAGCCTCCTGAGTAGCTAGGATTACAGGCGTGAGCCACCAGCGCCCGGCTTTTTTGGTAGGTTAATTGGAGATAGATAAGAGCTTCACAGACAAACTTTCCATCCCCGGGCTGGCTTTTGACCTGCAATCTTCAGATCTCAGCCTCCTGAGTAGCTAGGATTCATTACAAGCTTGAGCCCCAGCGCTGGGCTCCTCCTGGCTTTTTAGCACCATGCCAACCCAGCTTACCCCTCTCCACCAACCACCAAAGCCCCGGTGGGTACTCATCCAACTGGGGGTACTCAAGCCCTTAGTACCCCAGTTCCCCTGCCCAGCGCCTCCACTTCCCTGGGTACTCACTAAGCGGCCGAGTCATTGAGCTGGTACTCCCGAGAGCGGCCAAAGCAGGCCTGCACACCGTGGTCGGCCCAGAGCCTTCGGATGACACCAGACAGATCCTCAGGAAGCATTCCCTGCTCTTCAGCAGCACAAGACAACGCAAACAGCTGCCTGGCATCATCCTGGGCAGTGGTGGGGGGTGGTGAATCAGTTGAAGCTGTGCACTGCCACCCCTCCCGACAGACTCAGGGGATCCTCTGGGGTAGGGGGGCTCCGGTTGGGGCATTCTCAAGTTTCCCAGAACATTTGCCCTGTACCCTTTTAGGAGATAGGACGGGGGCAGGGGGTGTGGGGGGTGGTTCACATACCGCACGGTGGGGGTCAGCAAAGTCAATCTGCAGGTTACCCATGGCCTTGACAATGGCCATGATGGACTGGATGGTGTTGCTGTAGACAACTGCCCGGTACTGACGGCATTCCTCCTCTGAGTAGCCATCCTCGTGGATGATCCTGGCAACCAGGGGTAAAGGAGTTGGGGAATGGGGGGGGGGGTGTCTAGGAAGCCCTCATAGCTTTCCTGGAGCTGCAGGGGGACCTACTTCAGAGGGAGATACCCATCCCCAACCCCCTGGGACCTATGGCCAGATGAGTGGCTAGGAGGAAGCCTAAGCCTGGTGAAGCCAGGCTGGGCCTCTGCTGGAATGCAGTACCGGCCCGAAGATCAAAAGTGCAGAATCTTAAGTTTGGGGTTGCCAAAGTGCAGCACTTACTTCATCTGCTTGACAATGGTGCTCTTCCCAGACTCCCCAGCACCTGGAAGAAAGGGCACAGGGGTCAGGGATAGGCCCAGCAGGTACTATAGGTAAGCCATCAGTAGCTCAGGTGCTAGATCTCAAGAGATCTGCTACCAGCTCTCAGGGCACTACGAGATGGTGGTGTCCCTGGGCTGGTGTGTGCAGTGGAGCTACCAGAAATAGTCAGCAGGGCCACGCTGATCAAGGAAACATACCACAACTAACCCACACTTTTTTTCTTGGTGCCAGGCCCGGGGATAGACCTCTGGGCCTGGGTACTGTCCTTGAACTTCTCTGGTTAAGGCTGGCACTCTAGCACTTGAGCCACAGCTCCACTTCCAGCTTTTTTGCTGGTTAATTCCAGCTTTCCTGCCTGGACTGGCTTTGAACTTCAATCCTCAGATCTCAGCCTCGTGAGTAGCCAGGATTACAGGTGTGAGCCACTGGCACCTGGCTGGGGTTTAAAATAACAAATTCCAGCTACTCAGGAGGCAGGAGGAGGAGGATTGAGAGTTTGAGGCCAGCCAGGCAAAGTTAGTATGAGACCCAATCTCAAGACCAAAGAAATAGCCCCGAGTTCAATCCCCAGAACCATAAAAAAATAAAATAAAAAATGATAGTAGGGGTAAGAGATAGCGCAAACATGAAGACTTTGGGCAGCCTGGGGAAGTGGCGGCGGGGTAACAATTCTCATGGCTTCAACTTTGGGCTCTAGAGGTACCAGACCTAGCATTCTCACCTAAGCATCGGTTGTGTTCAGATGGTAATATCTTCCCACTACTGGGCTGAAGATGGCTGAGGCTCCAGAATTGCTCACACCCCACAGCCTGACATTTGGTAAGGGCCTAGAAAGCCTAGAGGTACTGCCCAACCACAGAAGCCCATGTCCTCCGTGCCTCAAAACTGTTGCAGTGGCCCCTTGGCTCACCTTTCCACTTGCTCTCACAAAACAGGAGGAAAAGATGCAGCTCGTAGAGCAGAAGAAGAACCAGGTGTCAGTTTTTCCACCTGGCCACTGTGGGTCGAGTGGATGGGTGTGGGTCACTTGTAACCCAGCCTCGTGACAGGATGCAATTCGAACTTGCTTTGCATCTGCTTTTCCTAGCTTGCATCTGCTTTTCCTAGAGTTGGCAGACAGCAAGAAGGTACGGCACCTGGACTGGGACCAAGAATACAGGCTCCCTAGCCAGGCGCCAGTGGCCCACGCCTGTCATCCTAGCTAATCAGGAGGCGGAGATCTGAGGATCATGGTTCAAAGCCAGCCCAGTCAGGAAAAGTCCATGAGACTCTTATCTCCAATAAACAACTAGAAAACTGGAAGTGGCGCTGTGGCTTGAGTGGTAGAGTGCTAGCATGCTAGCCTTGAGCTGAAGAGTGCAGAGACAGCGCCCAGAGTTCAAGCCCCACGACTGACCAAAAAAGAATACAGGCTCCCTGCCTCAGCCAGCTCAGGGCCTACTTCGGTGTGGGTCTCAAGCCTCAGTTTCCCTTCCAAAGGCCTCTAAAATTCTGAGCTCCAAGGACAGCCTTCCACCAGGGTCAATGTCAACAGAACGCCTTTGGGCAGGTGGACAAAACAGCCTCAATCCCTGGATTCAGGGTGGTCCCCTTTGTCCTTCTAGAAGCACTGACTCAAGAGGGAAGTAGTGAGAGGCGGGACAAGGGCGTGGTGCTGGCCCACAGGCAGGAAGCAGGGGGACCTGGAGACACAGTCAGAGAAGGGTGGGGCCAGTGAGTGGGTGGGGCCACCACAGGACATCCAATTGGAAAGGGTGAGGCCAAGACCCTGGCTCAGGCTGCCCACAGGCCCTGTGCTCTGGGAGCTCCGAGGTGGGAGATGAGGTATCCCCTCTAATCAGATAAATGGGCATCTGACCTCAAGTGTGCCCCCCCTCTTAGAGATTGCGGGCACTCAGTCCCCTCAGCCCAGGAAAGGGCTTCCCCACATGACTCCCGATTGCTCGCAGAGGTTCTGAGCGAAGGCGCTCAGCCCCTCCCTGCCCGCCCATGGAGGCTCCATTCCCCAGCTGGGTGAGATTACAGGGCCTGCAGAAGTTCTCTAGGGTCCCTTGCCTTTCCCACTGGGCCGCAGCTCTTCTCAACAAGGAAGGTATTTCTGTAGCCTCTGCCTGGTTGGGGCAGCTGCTGGGCCCACAATAGGTGAGCAGTAATCACAGTGGTTGCCTGAAGTAAAAACATCTGCTTGGACTCCAGGGTGCTAAGCCCCTACAGAGGAGGAAAGGGACTGGGAAAGGGAGATTGTACGGCAGTACCTGCCTGGCGAGGCCGGCAGGGCCTTACTTACTACAGACGAGGTCACAGATGTGCGCGCACGCGTGCGTGTGTGTGTGTGTGTGTGTACTGAGGCTTGAACTCAGGGCCTGGGCACTGTTTTGGTAGTTAATTGGAGGTTAGAGTCGCACAAACTTTCCTGCCAAGCAGTCTTTAAACTGCGATCTCTTTCTCTGATCTCATCTATGAAACAACCCATTGTGTCTTTCTCGCAGGCTCTTCTCCCTGTGCCTGACACACACAGTGTTCAGATAAAAGCTAGCCCCATTTCTGTACCCTTTGGAAGAATACAGATTACCCCCCAAATCTCTTAGGCCCCCACAAAGACCATCTCATTTGAAGGAGAGCAGCTTTTGGATGAAGAGCGAAGACCAATTAACAGTTGGCAAACAGGCTAGTTCAGAGCAAGTGGGGGGGGGGGGGCGGTCCCCGCTGAGACTTAGGATAACCTGGGACAAGAGTCAAACCCACACTGTGTTTGGTGGCTTTGTGTTCTCAGTGTGTCCTGTCTCTTCGATGCACTGGGCACTTGGACACACTGAGGTGTCTTTGTCTAGATGCTTCACCACTTACCCTAGCCGTCTGATTAGAAAGCTAGGCAGGCTGAGGAGAGGCCTTCCTGGACGGGGAGGCAGCTCCCTGGTCGGTGGGCTACCTTAGAACACATGAGCTAAGGAGAGAGCCGCCAGCTGATGTGGCAGCCTGAAGGCAGAGCTTTTCATAAGCAGCAGTGGCTGGGACCACAGGGTAGACTTGGGCAGGAGCCCAGCTCCAATCCACAACACCAGGCGTGCCTGCACTGCCGCAAGCAGAATGGGGCTTGTGGGGGGGGGGGGGGGAGGAGAGAGGAGGGTGGGTCCTAGACACCAGCCTCTTACTATCACCCTAGGAAAATGCCACATCTCCAGCCCAGCCCTGGGTTCCTGCCCCAAGCCCCAGGGTTCTAGGCCTCAACCACCGCTAGGGGGAGCTCCGCAGCCAGACACAAGAGGAGGAAGGTGGGGGCTAGGGAGTGTGCGGGTTGTTTTGTTTGTTTGTTTGTTTGAGAAAAGCAGCTGGGGTGGGGGGTAGCTGGAGGAGGTGCCTGGACCCTCACCCACCACCTCCTCCCAGGGAAGCCCCCACAGGCAGCAGCAGAGTCCCCCAACACACAGGAACAATGGGAATGGGAGGGAGGTGGGGGGGGGGAGGCCCAGCTAGACAAAGGCCCTCGAAGCCCCGCCCCTGGCCTTTCTTCCTTCCTCCAGGTGCTGTTCTTTTGTGGCCCCCCTTCACTCCCTCCAAGGGGGGTCCCCACGGGTCTGCAGCTCCGGGCAGCTGGATCCTGCAACATTTCCCCCCACATGCCCATAGCCTGGCTTTTCATTAGAAGTCCCAGCAAAACCTGTGCCCCCTTTTTGGTTCCTGATGCTACCTCTGCCGGCAGCTGCCGGGCTCCTCATGTCTATAAGGAAGCACCAACAAGCAAAGCAAGACCCTGTCTCTGTTCAGACACACAGATGCTAGCCAGGGGTAGGCAGTCTCCTTCTACAAGCCCTGCGCATTGTACAGAGGGGAAAGGAAGGCTGGCTAGAGTCTCATTCATCCTTAGCCCCTTGGACTAGCAAGTTTTACCCTCTGTAGGACCCAGATGTGATAAAGCCCAGATCATACTCAAGAAGCCAGGCCATTTTGGGCACATCTCTTCCTAGAGATTGTGTGTGTGAGCATGCGCACGCTGGGACTGGGGCTTGAACTCAGGGCCTAGGAGCTGTCCCTTAGGCTTTTCTGCTCAAGGCTAGCTACATCTCCACTTTTGGCTTTCCTGGTGATTAACTGGAGATGCGAGCCTCAATGGCTACCCTTCCTGGCAAGCTTTGAACTGTGATCCTCAGAGCTCAGCTTCCTGAGTAGCTAGGATTACAGGCATGTGCCACCAGCCCTAGAGACATCTCCATTTAAGGAATCCTTGAGCTGTTCTCAAGATATCTCAATGGCTGCTGCTTCTGACTCATTTCAGTGGACCTGGGGTGAGATGCGGGGACCCTGGGCCTCAGTATCCCCACCTGTGAAATGCCAACCCCACAGGACTGTCCTGAGCAGCAGTTTTCCTCGGCTCTTTCACACTCACCCCAAAGTGCCTTGGGGTCCAATAGAGGCCAGCAGCTAAACATGTCATCCACAGGACACAAGATAAAGATTAAGAACCATGACATCAAAGGTCCTAGCACTAGGCACAGACAGGGAAGAGGACAGCCCGAGGTCATACAGTGAGGGGGAGGGGAGGGAAGGGAGGAGGGGGATTGGACTTTCTGGGATGACCGCAAAGACAGTTGCCCTCTCTGTTTTCTGTCTGGCCCCATGGCCCAGAGGCTTGGGTGCTTCTACTTAAGACATTTCTGAACCTTACCTCCAGAGGGTCCAGCCTGAGAACACAGAGAACTTCTAGAACCCTCCAAGGATGAGGGCAAACCCCCTATCAGTCATAAGACTCAGATTTAGAAGCCGAGAACAATGAGGAACCAGATCAAGCTGTCACCAGCCCACGCCATGACCACAGAACCATATTGGTGCCACCACTGAGCGATTGCCCAGGGCTAGAATCCTTCAGGAACATCTTCCTCCTCCTCTCACCTGGCCAAACTCCCCGTCCTGGGCCTCCACCAAGTGGGCTGCCTCTCAGCTGTCTTAAGGCACAGTCTGAGGAGAGTGAGGTTGTGGTAGGAGTAAGAGAATGACACTGAAATG